TGTTTGTCCTGCAAGACCTGCAGGCAGTTGTTGTGGAAAGATGAGACCATACCACCTGGTACCAGGATCCATCTTGAAGGGGAGGAGGGGGAAAAGAGATGAAAAACAAGATTTTCGCCCTGGGGGGAAGAATCTATTGAAGCAATGAGAAGCTATTGGCCCTTTGTCTTCCTTTGACCTGAGAAATGGCCTTGCACAACTTAACAGGATACAATAGGGGCTAGAGACCAAAGGAAAAAAAGTCTCTGACTTGAATATTATTGTGCCTAAAATAAGAACAGATGTTTAGGGTAAGAATTTGCTTGCAATAAATCCCTTAGTAAATTAGAACTAGCTATGCATTCTTCATTTTAAATTTAGTAAAGTACTTTGATCTGTCTAATCTCACTTGAAACCACTTAGATCCTACTATTTGTAGTTAAAAAAGACACTTTTGTTTACTATCAGACCCCGTGTAAATAATTGTTACTGTGCATTCCTCTCCGGTCATAGAAGTACCCTTGAGATTGTTCCTATACCCCAGGGCTACTCAACTTTGGAAGCCCTGGAGGTCACAATGATCAACACAGCACATGCCCAGGGCTGCAACTTAAGTGTGGTGCATATATATGAAAATAGCTTATTTCACAGTGAGAGGCAGGACACAAAGCCCTTTCTACAATGCCCTGGCGCTCCCGGCACCTCCTCCCTGGGAGCTAGAAATGCCAACACCTTGTACCCGTCTGTTCCAGCCACCCTGTCTGCTTGTGTCTTTCAATGCTCACCCCACCTGGAAGATGCCTCGCCACTGTGGAGAGTGTTGCCAGTGAAGGCGTTGCTCAAAGGATCCCACCTGCAGGCTGGGTGTGGAGCAGCCAGGCCTGCCATACCCCATCACACCTTGTTTTAAGCCACATGGTGAGTCAGTGGCCAAGTAAGAGTCAGAATTTTCAAATTCCTGGTATCCAGGCTCCATGTTGATTACCCTAGGCCAGGGCTACTCAACACGTGGCCTGTGGGCTGCATACAGTCCATGGTGCGGTTTGGGTTTATGCAAGAATCACCATGCAGCCTGCGGGTGGGAGCCAAAACAAAAGAGTAATCAGTATAATGGCTTTCTGTTGATATGCGATTTAACAGTTAAATTCCTGGACTGTCGTTGCTCATTTAAAAGTGCTGTCGTATGGGTGGAAATCGGGTAAATATTGCATTTTATTAATAGCAGCTGAACCTACTTAAAGGGGCCTGTGTGTTGTGTTGCATTGCCTTAATCTTTGTATTCATGCCCGTCAGTGTGAAAAACTATTTGCATATATATTTGCATGTACATGCAACCACACTTAAGTCGCAGCCCTCGGCATGTGCCGTGAGTATCATTGTGGCCCCCCAGGCTTCCAAAGTGGAGTAGCCCTGCCGTAGGCCATGGTATCGGTTACAATTATAAACTTCTGTCCAGTTTGTAGAGACAGATGTCTACATAACAAGAAATGTCATCACAAACTGGCATGCTAAGTGGAAGTATCAGAAGAGAGGCTGCAGACAGAAGTGACCTCAGAAATTGAAATGTCTCTTCATTTAGGAGATGATCCCACTGAGTTCAGGCTGAGATGCATTATGAAAGTCATGCCCTTGCACAGTCTACCCAAGCTATACCCATTTTATAGATAGGACAACTTCTTTCTCATATTAAAGCAAGCCATTTGTGTGCTTATATATTTGAAAAGCTGTACTGTTAAACACAGCAAAACTACAGCTGGCAAATGTGAGTTATTATATGGGTACAATTTTATTCCCCCACCCCGAGACCAGTTACACAAGCATTTGCTATAAGCAAATATGGAAAAAATGTCAGCAACTGAGCTTTCCCAAAACTCCACCTAAACAGTGGAAATATCCACAACAAAGTCAGATTTTCCCATTCCTATCTGATTGTGGAATTGCCACACACCACCCGCAGAATTCACAAAGCTTGATCAAAAACGCATTCATGAAACTTTTTCACCGAAAACATATACATGTGGTTTTAGCTAGCCAGACTGAAACAATCAACCAGACAAGTTCATTGATCCACAGAAGATAGCCTGATTATTTAATTAAACAAGGTTACATTCAAAAGTCTCTGTTGTTGTTTTAGGATGTTACAGGAAGCGTGGACCAAATCAATGTGTTTCATTAGAAAGAAAAACAACTAAATCAACAATAACCTCAGGAACAGCAACAGGAGATACAATACTGTAAGTACCTTTGCTTAAGAACAGACCATGTCAGAATAGTGGGTGGAATTTTTAGAAAAAGGCATGTTGACTTTGGAGGTAAAAAAATGGTTTGAATTAGCGACTAAAAAGGAGGAAAATACACTAAAAATAATCCTGGGTCAGTACCTTCCTTCTGTTTCTCGGGAGCAGCATGTTTAGAAGATACATATAAAAACTTGGAGACAACAGTAAATGGATTTCTGCCATTCCATCCACCCCTTCTCCCTTTCCTCCTTCCTTTCCCCATGCTCTAAAAAAACACTGTTCCAAGCCAGGCACGTACTAAAAATACCCATCAGTCTGTGCAAGTAAGTTAAAAGGTAGAAAAGAGAAGGCCTGCTCAAATGTGAGCCACAAGGGTAACATGACTGTGCATTAGTCCGTGTAACGAGAGGTGTACAAAAAGCTGTCACTAGCCATAGGTGCTGTAAGTTCGCACATGCCTAGTTATAAGACAGGTTTCATCAAGGCACTGAAAGAATATGGGAGTATCTCCTTAAGGGTTTCCTCAGTGCTACAGAGTTACATTTAGTGATTGACGTCACGCTGTTTCCCAAGTGTATTACCTACTGAGGGTGAGTGAAAGGTTTATCCAGAGATTTTCTGACTGTTATTTTCACATTCCTCAGCCTGATAGACTAGCCATGGAACTCTTGGGTTTTATTTTTATTGAGCGCTTTTAATAAGGGTTCACCTGTAAATCAGCTTAGCACATTAGTTTGTATGATTGCATTAAACATGGATCAATAGCAACATCAGGAAGAATGAAAATAGCATGCTGAGCTAAGGCATTTACTGATAAGAACTCACTGGGAGCAGGTAAGAACGAGCGTTGGTGACCTAATTGGATCTAAAGAGTACCACAATGCACATATTATCTATGATGTCCAATGGTATAGAAATCTAAGTGAGTATCTTAACTAGCAGAAAGGCACTTCTACATGTGGGTAACACTTGAAGGAAAGGACAAAAAAAAGCATGTGGGCATGGGAAGCGGTTGTCCTATTAGGTTGCTGGAGTTGCTAGCATTGACTATCCAAGTGGAATGCAAATGCAAAGTAACATTCCTTTCTGAATCCTTGGCAAAGAGACTGCTGGAAATAAATTACCTATAAAACCCCTCAGTCAAGGGGCAAAGGCACTGTCTCCCTGTGTACATGGACAGCAGTGTCGATTGTCAAATTGCATTTACATGAAATCGACAGCTATGCAGTTGATTGCAGAATAAATGTAGAGAATTGAGTTTTCTTCCTTTTGCTGGAGAGACATTTCTATTGACACCACTGATAAAAATCAAGGTCAAGAGAAGGAAGCCTTACAAAGTCCAGGCACTTGGGCCACTGTTGTCACTGAGGCAGGGGTCAGCAACTTTTCAGAAGTGGCGTGCCAAGATTTAATTTATTCACTTCTATTTATGGATTTGCACGCCTGGGGAAAAAGGAGGAAGGGGCAGGCTGGGTATGGTGACCATATTTTCTAAACCAGCTGCAGCTAGGGAGAACGGTTTAAGTTAAATTATTAAACAGACTGAACATTTTAACTCTCTCATGTTAGTTTATCAAACTTCATTTTAAATAAAGTAAAATATTAATTTATGTCCAACACAAAAGGCTTCAATGTTTTCTTTATTTATGGCAGGGGTGGGGAACCTTTTTTGGGTCAAGGGTCACTGATCCACAGAAAAAAAATCAGTTGGGGACCACACAAGTGAGAATCAAAAAAACTCCTCTAAAGACCCCCCAACCCTTACTGATGTGGCCCCTCGCTCCTGATGCTCTAACCTCACAGGGTGAAGGAACCGGGAGGACTGAGGGTCAGGACTTCCCATAGGCCAGATTTACTTTCTTGGTGTTCCAGGGTTAGTGGATATTATGGACCCCCTTAGGCCCTGGGGTAGGGACAAAAATTAAGGGTTCAGTTTGCGAGACTGGGCTGCCAGCAAGTGGGATGCAGGATCTGAGAGGGTGGGGGGTGCACAGGGGAGAGTGGTTGTGAGGCCTGGGTGGGAGGTGAAGCATGCTGGGAGTAGGATGTCTGGCCAGGGGGAGGGAGCAGGAACAAGGGAGGTGTCGAAGCAAGCTGGTGGTGCGGGGTCTTGGCAGAGGGAAGGAAGTGAGGTGAACTGGGGTGTGGGGTGGACTGGGCATGAGGAGGGGACATTTACGTGGCTTTGTGCCCCCTTGCAGCAACTACCACAGCCCCGGGCCAGCCACGGAGGCACCACTACCATGGCCCTGCAGCCCTGGGAAGGCCACAGAGGCCAGAGGCACCACTACCACAGCCACATGGCTCCAGGTGCCACTACTGCAGTCACGTAGTCCTAGGCTGGCCCCAGAGGCCAGAGGCACCACTAAGGAGCCTCAACCCCTGCACTGCCTCCTCCTACCACACCTTAACCTGCTGCTGGGGAAGAAGGGGGGCTCCAGCAGCTGCGTGCCACTGAAAATTGGCTCGCATGCCACATATGGTATGCGTGCTGCAGATTGCCAATCCCTGCACTGAGGCCTCAGCTTCTCACAGGTGTCAGAGGCAGGACTGGCACTGCTGCCTCCATGAAACCTTTGCTGTTAGAACCAATGAGACAGAACCACCATGATTACTTGTGTGCCAACAGTAGGAGCTGGAAAAAGAACTTAAAAATACAATTACTTATCTCCTGAGAGGAAATGCTATCCCAATAACTGGGAAACCTCAAAGCCAAAGTTTGATCCATGGGTGAAAGAAAGAGAGGCAAAAACTGTGATAAGTTAAAGGATAATGACTTACAATTCTCTGCAGTGAGTCAATGAGATTCTGCAAGTCAATGTCATCTCGGTAGGACTTAATGTTATTCTCAAAGAATTCCTTGAACCGGTCTCTCACCCAGTCCTGGAACAAGAACGCCAGCACTGCCACTGCCAGCTCCAACATAAATATAAGTACGATTGCTCCACAGAACTGCAAAATAAAGTCACAAGTCAGATTACAAAACATTCATTTAAAATACAACCATGTTTCAACTTAAAAGTAGATAAAGGACTTCAGTAAAATGCTAACAAAATACAAATCTGATCAAGGCCAATGACACTGAATATAGTGGGGGAACGAGATAGGAGATGGAACTATGTTTTAATTTGGTAGTTTTAAAGTGTGTCGTGAACACAGACACTGTGTCATAGTCCACTGTAACACAGAGAAAGTGAGAAAAAAATAAGCTTGAGAGATGGCAACACAAGAAGCAGAAGAAGGTCCTGACAAGGGAAGCTATTTGGATTTTTATTCGTCTCAAAATAGCTGTTAGCGTCTGGATCCAAAATAAACAAGAACTTCAAACATTAGAATTAAAATTGGGGTAAACATTGATTTCTGTACTGGAGTCCACAGTTCCGCCTATTCAGAAGGGAAACCTTTTAACTTAGGAAATTTTCAGAGGAAAGTTATGAATGTGTATTTTCCTATTTCCCTGAGGGTATCCTACCTAGGATTATCAAAAGAATAGCAGTTCTCTACTGAGGTACATATAACCCTAAGGGTACATCAGCTCTTCTAGATATTTGCTTAGTTTTACAAAAGGTTACAAACACCAACCAAACCCCACCCCACCCCAAAAACACAACCTACAACACTAGCCAAATCACTGCAACCGAAACCGTCAGAGACTTGTTTCTACCCTTTATATACCATACTGTGAAATGTAGGTACACGATTTATATTCCAATTGATTTGTTTTATAATTATATGGTAAAATGAGAAAGTAAGCAATTTTATGACACTTTTGTATTTTGATACCGATTTTGTAAGTAGGGAGTTAAGCGAGATTAAACTTGGGGGTATGGAAGCTAACGCAGACTCCTTAAAGGGGTACAGTAGTCTGGAAAGGTTCAGAGCCACCATCTTGGAATTCCTCATTTTCAGATGTTACAAGTAATATGGGCTTCAGTGAGATTTCTGATATGTGAACACATTCCAGAATGTAACATCACAATGAACCAAGAAGCACTAGGAGCCATTTCACAAAGAAAGAAAGAAAGTCTAAATGTATTGCTGTTTTG